GTCTGGTGAGCACTTTCTACCGCCTTCAAGACCAGTTGACACACAACAAGGTGGTCCAGTGCAGCACACACTATGTTGCAAGTTCACTGAACGCGGCCGTCAAATAACTAAGGCCAACAGACTCAGTGAGCTGCGGTGAGCGCTTCTTCTAAAATCAGTAGAAGCCAGTAGAATACTCTCTACTACCAGTAGATGTGTACCATTAGGTGTTCTGGTAACTACTGCTTAGATGCGTACCGTGAGGTGTTCAGGTACTGCTTCTAAAGCCGGCTCAGCAGTCCCCACATTAGATTTGATGACGTACCCAGTGGTACTGCCGGCCGGCAGGTTAAATATTTAACCGCTAGTTTGGCAGGGGACCGTAACAGTGTGGAACAGAGACAGGATGTTCCAGAGAGGGAACACAGAAACAAGGGGTCACAATTGGAAGCTGACGACTCAGACGAGTCACACGGATGTTAGGAAGTATTACTTAAGCCACAAAGTCGTCAGGAAGTGGAATAGCCTAGCAAGTGATGTAGTGGAGGCAGGAACCATACATAGCTTTAAGACGAGGTATGACAAAGCTCAGGAAGCAGAGAGAGGGGACCTAATAGCGATCAGTGAAGAGGCGGGGCCTGGAGCTGAGTCTCGACCCCTGCAACCACAATTAGGTAAGTACACGCGCGCGGGCGTATGTTTTTCAGATCTGTGAAGGCACATTTGGCTTCGAGATGCAACAGATATGTTGGTGGGTAGTAATGATAGCTGCGTGGCACTGCACGCGTCTTAGAGGCCTTGCAACCCCAGGCTGCACCATTTACAACTATTGACCTACTTCGGGAAATCGTCGAAGGTCGTTGCTTCACACCCGTGGCGGGTCGTTACCCGAGACCCGTACCAAGACAAGGTCCTGGACAGTAGTTTAACAACAATAAAAAACCAAGCCTTGACAGTAGTAACTCTGTCGCTTATGATTTTTCATACATATACTTTTTTATTCACTGCAGCAGCGTACTAAAGCGAGGAACTGCTTGTTAGTTAAGAACCTGATTCCATGAATTTTTTTTAAGTGTTTTACGTGTTTTAAACATGTGATGTATATATATATATATATATTATATATATATATATATATAATATATATATATATTATATATATATATATATATAATATTATATATATATATAAAATATATATATATATATATATATATATATATATATATATATATATATATATATATATGGTAGGATTGCTGGTGTCTTTTTCTGTCACATAAACACGCTAGATAACAGGGATATCTTGCTACTCCTACTTGCACTTTGGTCACACTTCAGACACGCACATGCATATATATATATATATATATATATATATATATATATATATATATATATATATATATAATATATATATATCTAGGTTTTTCTCCTTTTTCTAAATAGCTCTTGTTCTTCTTTATTTCTTCTATTGTCCATGGGGAAGTGGAAAAGAATCTTTCCTCCCTAAGCCATGCGTGTCGTATGAGGCGACTAAAATGCCGGGAGCAATGGGCTAGTAACCCCTTCTCCTGTAGACACTTACTAAAAAAGAGAAGAAGAAAAACTTTATAAAACTGGGATGCTTGAATGTGCGTGGATGTAGTGCGGATGACAAGAAACAGATGATTGCTGATGTTATGAATGAAAAGAAGTTGGATGTCCTGGCCCTAAACGAGACAAAGCTGAAGGGGGCAAGGGAGTTTCGGTGGGGGGAAATAAATGGGATTAAATCTTGAGTATCTGAGAGTTAGAGCTAAGAAAGGGGTAGCAATAATGTTGAAGGATCAGTTATGGAAGGAGAAAAGAGAATGTGAATGTGTAAATTCAAGGATTATGTGGATTAAAGTAAAGGTTGGATGCGAAAAGTGGCTCATAATAAGCGTGTATGCACCTGGAGAAGAGAGGAATGTAGAGGAGAGAGAGAGAGATTTTGGGAGATGTTAAGTGAATGTATAGGAACCGTTGAACCAAGTGAGAGAGTAATTGTGATAGGGGACCTGAATGCTAAAGTAGGAGAAACTTTTAGAGAGGGTGTGGTAGGTAAGTTTGGGGTGCCAGGTGTAAATGATAATGGGAGCCCTTTGATTGAACTTTGTATAGAAACGGGTTTAGTTATAGGTAATACATATTTTAAGAAAAAGAGGGTTAGTAAGTATACAAGATATGATGTAGGGCGTAATGACAGTAGTTTGTTGGATTACATATTGGTAGATAAAAGACTGTTGAGTAGACTTCAGGAAGTACATGTTTATAGAGGGGCCACAGATATATCAGATCACTTTTTAGTTGTAGCTACACTGAGAGTAAAAGGTATTTGGGATACAAGGAGAATAGAAGCATCAGGGAGGAGAGAGGTGAAGGTTTATAAACTAAAAGAGGAGGAAGTTAGGGTAAGATATAAACAGCTATTGAAGGATAGATGGGCTAATGAAAGCATTGGCAATGGGGTCGAAGAGGTATGGGGTAGGTTTAAAAATGTAGTGTTAGAGTGTTCAGCAGAAGTTTGTGGTTACAGGAAAGTGGGTGCGGAAGGGAAGAGGAGCAATTGGTGGAATGATGATGTAAAGAGAGTAGTAAGGGAGAAAAAGTTAGCATATGAGAAGTTTTTACAAAGTAGAAGTGATGCAAGGAGGGAAGAGTATATGGAGAAAAAGAGAGAGGTTAAGAGAGTGGTGAAGCAATGTAAAAAGAGAGCAAATGAGAGAGTGGGTGAGATGTTATCAACAAATTTTGTTGAAAATAAGAAAAAGTTTTGGAGTGAGATTAACAAGTTAAGGAAGTCTAGAGAACAAATGGATTTGTCAGTTAAAAATAGGAGAGGAGAGTTATTAAATGGAGAGTTTATAGGTATTGGAAGATGGAGGGAATATTTTGAGGAATTGTTAAATGTTGATGAAGATAGGGAAGCTGTGAATTCGTCTATAGGGCAATGAGGAATAACATCTTGTAGGAGTGAGGAAGAGCCAGTTGTGAGTGTGGGGGAAGTTCGTGAGGCAGTAGGTAAAATGAAAGGGGGTAAGGCAGCTGGGATTGATGGGATAAAGATAGAAATGTTAAAAGCAGGTGGTGATATAGTTTTGGAGTGGTTGGTGCTATTATTTAATAAATGTATGGAAGAGGGTAAGGTACCTAGGGATTGGCAGAGAGCATGCATAGTTCCTTTGTATAAAGGCAAAGGGGACAAAAGAGAGTGCAAAAATTATAGGGGGATAAGTCTGTTGAGTATACCTGGTAAAGTGTATGGTAGAGTTATTATTGAAAGAATTAAGAGTAAGACGGAAAATAGGATAGATGGAAAAGGAGGCTTTAGAAAAGGTAGGGGGTGTGTGGACCAGGTGTTTACAGTGAAACATATAAGTGAACAGTATTTAGAGAAGGCTAAAGAGGTTTTTGTGGCATTTATGGATTTGGAAAAGGCGTATGACAGGGTGGATAGGGGGGCAATGTGGCAGATGTTGCAGGTGTATGGTATAGGAGGCAGGTTACTGAAAGCAGTGAAGAGTTTTGACGAGGATGGTGAGGTTCAGGTTAGAGTATGTAGGAAAGAGGGAGATTATTTCCCAGTAAAAGTAGGCCTTAGACAAGGATGTGTGATGTCACCATGGTTGTTTAATATATTTATAGATGGGGTTGTAAGAGAAGTAAATGCGAGGGTCTTGGCAAGAGGCGTGGAGTTAAAAGATAAAGAATCACACATAAAGTGGGAGTTGTCACAGTTGCTCTTTGCTGATGACACTGTACTCTTGGGAGATTCTGAAGAGAAGTTGCAGAGGTTGGTGGATGAATTTGGTAGGGTATGTAAAAGAAGAAAATTAAAAGTGAATACAGGAAAGAGTAAGGTTATGAGGATAAAAAAATTAGGTGACGAAAGATTGGATATCAGATTGGAGGGAGAGAGTATGGAGGAGGTGAATGTATTCAGATATTTGGGAGTGGACGTGTCAGCGGATGGGTCTATGAAAGATGAGGTGAATCATAGAATTGATGAGGGGAAAAGGGTTAGCGGTGCACTTAGGAGTCTGTGGAGACAAAGAACTTTGTCCTTGGAGGCAAAGAGGGGAATGTATGAGAGTATAGTTTTACCAATGCTCTTATTTGGGTGTGAAGCATGGGTGATGAATGTTGCAGCGAGGAGAAGGCTGGAGGCAGTGGAGATGTCATGTCTGAGGGCAATGTGTGGTGTGAATATAATGCAGAGAATTCGTTGTTTGGAAGTTAGGAAGGGTTGTTGAAGTGATTCAGACATGTAGAGAGAATGGAGCGAAACAGAATGCCTGCACTCTGAAGGAAGGGTGTTAATGTTGCAGTTTAAAAACTGTAGTATAAAGCACCCTTTTGGCAAGACAGTGATGAAGTGAATGTTGGTGAAAGTTTTTCTTTTTCGGGCCACCCTGCCTTGGTGGGAATCGGCCAGTGTGTTAATAATATAATATATATATATATATAATATATATTATATATATATATATATATAATATATATATATATATATATATATATATATATATATATATATATAATACTGCGACTAGCCGAGGACTCGAACCCATGTCGTTTTGGCCCGCCTCATGGTGAGCAAAAATCACACGACGCTCTAACCCACAGGACCACCAATCTTCAAGATCACGCACCCAGCAGAGCTAGGTGTTTTACCGTGATCCGAGGACATACGATGGTGTGGGTGCCTCAGAGCTAATTTCATTCTATTCCCCGTTTGGTGTACTATCGTATGTGAGATGATGATCTCAACCTTATAAGCCTTCTACTACTCTGTTACATTTACAAGTCTTTGATAATGTGAGAATCACTAATGCCCTTGGAAGTTAACTATTTTTTTTCACAGTGGTTGTCTTGTAAATTGTGACATCACCTGTTTATTGTGATCTTATTACACACACACACACACACACACACACACACACACACACACACACAGTTAACATCATAAGTACTGATGTGTATTCTCTCTCAACCAGAGTTGCCGAAGAGTGTGCAGATCCTGGACCGCCAGACAGGACCAGCCAAGAACGGGGTGCTGGGGCCGTACTATACCGGCCAGACCATTGTCATCACCTGTATCTCTCTTGATGGTAGGTCTCTCTCTCTCTCTCCCTCCCTCCCTGACTACACTCTTAGATATTTGAAGTAATGAAGACAGCATCATCCACTAGCAGTTGCAGTGATAGCAGCCATAACATTGAAAGTACCACTACCTCTGATGCCACCTGTCCTAGTCAAACCTGACTATGATGGTCTTAATAGTATTACACACACACACACACACACACACACACACACACACACACACACACACACATACACACACACACATGCACATACAACAGGCCTAGTTTCTAATCGACATGTGCCTAGGACCAAATGGTAACTAACACAGATACTGGCTATGCGTCAGATTAAACTGATAAGTCAACAGATGTTCTGTATAACACAGTTGAGTTATAGCTGGTAACGAGAGCGCTTCACTCTATATCTAAATATAGATATAATCCTCTGAACAATTTTCACCCTAGCCCTTCCGTACGTCCGCCCACACGCCCGCCCACACGCCCGCCCACACGTCGGCCCACACGCCCGTCTTGCTGTCGTCCCTTCCTTTCTGTTCACTCTCCCTCTCGCGATCAACATTTCTTGCGTGCCTGTCTTTCTGACTGCATCTCTCTCTCTCTCTCTCTCTCTCTCTCTATCTCTTGCTCGCTCGCTCTCTTGAAAAAAAAATTCTGTCGACTCTGACCCTGCTTTCCCGACTCATCAACGTCTGATAAGGACTCTGATTTAGAAGGCGAAAGGCCTCAGAGCTCTCTTTCCCCTCCCCGCTGTTTTACTTACCAGCATCATGCGTGTGTCAATACTACAAAGTTCAACATTATATTGATTAATCTGATATAAACCCACTGGAAGACAAATCTAATTCTTCCGTCTGTTGCTGAGGTCCTCTTCAGCAGATTGAATTATCTTTTATGTGAGCGTAAAGTCACCTGGCATCGCGAACTGTATTTTGTATGTGCTTAACAGGCGTTGTTGTCTCCGCAGGCTGGCCGCTGCCCAACATCACCTGGTGGAGGAACAATCACATCATGGGAAGTGGTTGGGAGGTGACTGGACCTGGCCAGGTGCAGAGCGACCTGGTAATCGAACAGGTGTCGCGAGACTGGCACAACCAGACGGTCACTTGTGCTGCTTCCAACACTCACTTGGCCTCTCCTGTCTCCGTCTCAGCGGTGATACAGCTCTACTGTGAGTATGTGTGTGTGTGTGTGTGTGTGTGTGTGTGTGTGTGTGTGTGTGTGTGTGTGTGTGTGTGTACTCACCCAGGCCGCAGCCTCTCTGAGAGAGGCTGCGGCTGGTGACAAACCCGCACTGGGCTACTCTGAGAAAACTTCCATTCCTTCTGTTGCTCCCTTGCAACTTTGCATAGCTCCTGATGACACTGAGAAGTATGAAAGTACTTGACCTAAAGATTTCCACCCCTCGTGGCTTGTTTTGCATATATATATGTCGTGCCGAATATTTAAAACTGGTCAATTAGCAAGAACTCATTTAAAATTAAGTCCTTTCTAAAAAATTCTCTTATACGTTTAAAGATATATTTTTTTCATTAATGTTAATGTAAAAATTTTTTATTTTGCTCCAAAAGAATCTTAGAAAACTTAACTAACGTTATTATAACAAGAACAATTTATTTTAGCCTAACCCAACGAAATATATTTTAGATTTGTTTACAATAATTTAATAATAAACAAACGCATTGAATATATATTTTTCGTTAGGTTCAGAAAGATTTTGTCAAAATTATTTACAAATTTTCCTTTTCCCTAAAAAATTTTTAACTTTTGTTTATTTTTTTTTAATTTAATTAAAAAATTTTTTATTTTTAAAGATTTAAAAATTAAAAATTTTTATAAAAAAAATTTTAGTAATAAAAATAATTTTAATTTTTTAAAATATTTAATAAAACAAAACCCTTTAATATAATTTTTTTAAAATTTAATTTAAATTTTTATACAAAGTTTTTTCCCTTAAAATTTAAATTTTATTTTAAAAATATATTTTATAATATATATTTTATATTTTAAAATTAATATAAAAATTTAAATTTCTATATAAATATATATATTAATATATATATAAAAATATAGAAAATTTAAAATTTTTTAATTTTTTTATAAATTATATTTTATATTTTAAAAATTATAAAATTTTATATAAAAAATTTTTATTATTTTTTAAATTATATTAATATATATTTATTTATAAAATTTTAGATTTTTTATAAATATTTTAAAAATAATTTAATTGAATTTTAATAAATTATATAATTAAATATATATAATTTATATATATTTTTTATATATTTTTTTTTATAATTTATATTTTTTTATATATATTTTATATTTAATTTATTTTATAAAAATATATAAAAAATTATTTTTTAATTTTTAAATTTTTTAAAATTTTTTTGTTTAATTTTGGTTATTTTTAATATTTATTTTTTTTTAATATATTTTTTTTAAATGTATATTTATTTTTAAAATTTTATATATAATTTTTTTATTTTTTTAATATATTTTAATATATATTTTATATAAAAATATAAAAAATTTTATATTTTTTAATTTTTTATATTAATAATTTTTATTTTAAAAAATATTTTTATATATTTTTTTTATATATAATAATATAAAATATTTTTAATATTTTTAATATTATATATAAAAAATTTTTTAAAATTTTATAAAAATTTTAATTTATATATATATTTTTATTTTTAAATTTTATATAATAAATATTTAAAATATTTACTTTTATATTTTTATATATAAAAAAGAAAAATTTTTTATATAATTTTTTATATAAATAATATAATTTTTTAAAATTTATATATATATTTTTAATTATATAAAAAATTTTTAATATAAAAATATATATATAATATATTTATAAAATGTATTTTTAATTATAATATATATATATAATAAAAATTTTAAATTTAAATTTTTTAAAATTTTTAAAAAATAAAATAAATTATATATATATATACAAAAAAAATTTATATTTTATATATATATTTTAAAAATTTTATAAACAAAATTTGAAAATATATTAAAATATTTTAATATTTTTTATTATAAAATATTTTTATAAAATTTTTATAAAATTTTTTAAATATTATATATTATTTTAAATATATTATAAAATTTTTAATATTTTAAAATATAAATATTTTTAAATAAATTTTATATTTTAAAATATATTTATTATATATATATTTTTATTTTATTATATTAAAATTTTAATATATTTTATATATAAAATATTTTTATAATATATTATAAATAATATATATATATTAATGTTTTTAAAAATTTATTTAATATATTATATTAAATTTAAAAATATATTTATTTTTATATATATATATTTTAATTATATATATTAAATATTTTTTAAATTTTTATATTTTTTATATAATTATTTATATTTATATAAAAATTTTATTATATATATTTTTAAATATAATATAGATAATATTATATTATAATATTATATATTTTTTAAAATTACATTATAAATATAATATATATAAATTTTAATAAAATATATTATAAAAGGGCAAAATATATATATAAATATATATATTTATATATATATAAATATTTATATATAATTGAAATTATATAAAAAATTATTTTTTATATAAAATATTATATATATTTATATATAAATTAAATATATGTTAGTTTACTTTGGGATTTTATTTTAATATATATTTTTTTTTTAAAAATTTAAAATTTTAAATTTATATAATAAATATATATTTTTAAAATATATAATTATATATATATATATCTAATTATAAATATATATATAAAAATTTTTATATATAGATATTTTAAATATATATTTAAAAATATAAAATATATAAAATTAAAATAATAATATATAATATAGATATAACTTTTTATAAAAATATTAAATTTTTAAATATATATATATTTTATATATATATTTTTAAAATATTTTTATATAAAATATTTTAATTTTAATATATATAATATATATGTATATAATATTTATATAATATATTTAAATATATATTTTTATATTATATATGAAAAATATTTATACATAAAATTTTAATTTTATATATGTATAATATACTTTTAATATAAAATAATAAATATATATATTTATATTTATATATATTTTTATCATATATAATATATATATATATATAATTTTTTATATATATTTTTAAAAATTTAATTTATAAATATAATATAATATAAAATATATTTATAATTATATAAAAAAATAATTATATTTTAATATTTATATAATATATAATATAAGGTAGAAAGGTTTGGGGTAGACATAAAACCACCCGGGAAGTAATACCGTCCTCCCAGATGATTTGGAAACAAAAACCTGTAATTTTTTTTTGCATGATTGTGGATTGCTGGTGTCTTTTTTGTCTCATAAACACGCTAGTTTTAAAGGGATATCTTGCTATTTCCTATTTACACTTTGGTCAAAACTTCACAGAACCCCACATGTATATATATACAAAAATTTTAGGTTTTTTTTCCTTTTTTTACATAGCTTTGTTCTTCTTTATTTCTTTTTATTTTCCATGGGGAAGTGGAAAAGAATTTTTTCCTCCGTAAACCAAGGTGTCGTATGAGGCGACTAAATGCCGGGACAATGGGCTAGTAACCCCTTCTCCTGTAGACATTTACTAAAAAAGAGAAGAAGAAAAACTTTAAAAAAAAGGGGGTGCTTAAATGTGGTGGTGTAGTGCAGATTTACAAAAAACAGAAAGTTTCTTTATGTTATGAAGAAAAGAAGTTGGGTGTCCTGGCCCTAAGCGAAACAAAGCTGAAGGGGGTAGGGGAGTTTCGGGTGGGGGGAAATTTTAAAAGGGATTTAAAAATGGAGTATTGGGAAAAGGTTTGAGGGAAAAAGGAAAAGGGGGAGGGAGTAATTTTTGAATGACAAATTTTGGAAAAGAAAAAAGAAATATGAATGTGTAAAAGCAAGAATTTGTTTGGGTTAAAAATAAAGGTTGGATGCGGGGAAAATGGGGCATAATAAGCCCTGTATGCACCTGGAGAAGAGAAGGAATGCAGGGAAAAGAGAGAGATTTTGGGAGATGTTAAGTGAATGTAAGGAGCCTTTTAACCAATTTAGAGAGTAATTTTTTGTAGGGGACCCGAATGCTAAAGAAGGGAAACTTTTTGAGAGGGTGTGGTGGTAAGTTTGGGGTGCCCGGTGTAAATGATAATGGGGGCCCTTTGATTGAAAATTTGTATAGAAAAGGGGGTTTTGTTTAGGTAATACAAATTTTAAGAAAAAGAGGGGAAAAAAAAGTATCAAGATTTGATGTAGGGCGAAAAGGCAGTAGTTTGTTGGATTATGTATTGGTAGATAAAAGACTGTTGAGTAGACTTCAGGATGTACATGTTTATAGAGGGGCCACGATATATCAGATCACTTTCTAGTTGTAGCTACACTGAGAGTAAAAGGTAGATGGGATACAAGGAGAATAGAAGCATCAGGGAAGAGAGAGGTGAAGGTTATAAACTAAAAGAGGAGGCAGTTAGGGAAAGATATAAACAGCTATTGGAGGATAGATGGGCTAATGAGAGCATAGGCAATGGGGTCGAAGAGGTATGGGGTAGGTTCAAAAATGTAGTGTTAGAGTGTTCAGCAGAAGTTTGTGGTTACAGGAAAGTGGGTGCGGGAGGGAAGAGGAGCGATTGGTGGAATGATAATGTAAAGAGAGTAGTAAGGGAGAAAAAGTTAGCATATGAGAAGTTTTTACAAAGTAGAAGTGATGCAAGGAGGGAAGAGTATATGGAGAAAAGAGAGAGGTTAAGAGAGTGGTGAAGCAATGTAAAAAGAGAGCAAATGAGAGAGTGGGTGAGATGTTATCAACAAATTTTGTTGAAAATAAGAAAAAGTTTTGGAGTGAGATTAACAAGTTAAGGAAGCCTAGAGAACAAATGGATTTGTCAGTTAAAAATAGGAGAGGAGAGTTATTAAATGGAGAGTTATTAAATGGAGAGTTAGAGGTATTGGGAAGATGGAGGGAATATTTTGAGGAATTGTTAAATGTTGATGAAGATAGGGAAGCTGTGATTTCGTGTATAGGGCAAGGAGGAATAACATCTTGTAGGAGTGAGGAAGAGCCAGTTGTGAGTGTGGGGGAAGTTCGTGAGGCAGTAGGTAAAATG